TATATTTTACTACTGTAACAAATATAATCTTAGGTATAACAAGTTCAAATTGTAATGAGGGACCATTACAGAAGTCCCCCAAACTGCCCGCATAGTCGCAAAGATGCATCAGAAAAGGATCGCACCTATTTAATTTGAGTGAAATCGGGCTACATCTGAATTTCGACCAATCAGAAGCCAGTATACAGCAGCCATTTTGTCGAAACAGAAAATGGATGCCGCAGTTGAGTTTGCAGTGCAAAATGACACCTGCATATCAAATTTGAGTGAAATCGCAGAATATCTAAATTTCTACCAATCAGTACCCAGCATACAGCTGCCATTTTAGATGCGCAGTTGCGAAAAAAAGAAAAAGAAACAGAGTAAAACCAATAGGTCCCCCACTTCGTTTGGGGGACTTAATAATTTCAAGATAACTTTTCCTTTGTAAATATCGTGTTACCTTATGCATAGTGCTGATTTGTATGCCCTTTTTAACTACTATAATTATAATGGTCAATGCAGGAATACTATTTTTCATGTTTTGTAAAACGCCTTTTAGTAATTTTGCAAAGGTTGGGTCAACATTTGGCCCCCACTTTGATTTCTTTTATTCTTTTGCCATATGAAGATACATGAAAATGATCAATAACTGCATAAATGATTATTCATAATCGCTACTGATAACCGTAGTGGGCCTCCATGCATAACACAAGGTTGAGTGACAGGGGTATCCTAACAAAAGGACAGATAAATGTCACAGGCGAATGTTATTTTGAAAATGAATTATGATAGTGTACAGTGGATAAAATTATTGTTATTTTGATACTAAATATGTCATATTGGTATATATGAAGAAAGCGTAGGGATAATTTTAATTAGGAAAACATGCAAAATTTTCACAAAGTTTTAAATATAACCAACATTGTCAACTTGCCTATATATAGTTACAATGGTAGTCTATATTTCAAACTTCTTTACAAACTTTCTATATATGTATTCTGTCTACAGATTCATTTTTATGTAACTTAAAAACCGGTAAAGTACTATATTTTGCATGTCAAACATGATCAATGCCAAATTTCAAGTAAACTTGAAGATTTGATTATCAATGTTTATTTTGGTAAATACCGATACATTTTCTTTTTTTTGTATCATACTAAAACATTTGATTATATTACGCATGTTTTAAAGTTATGTGCAGCAGTAATAACTCATGATTAAGTATTCTGCCAAAGTAATCTTTCCTCTGGGGAACTTCTTAAGGTTCAGATTGTGTTATTGACCAAAATATGCAATGATATAAAAACAATAAAATAATCTTAATAGTAAAACTATTATACACTTTATTATACCCCCTGCAACGAAGTTAGGGAGTATACTGGATTTAGCTTGTCTGTCCGTCTGCCTGTCCGTAGAAAAATTTTGTCCGGACAACTCCTTCTAAAGTAATGGACTAATTTCAATGAAAGTTTCCAGATATGATAACTGTCACCTGAAGTTGTGCATCCAGGTATTATTTTTTCATTCTGACACTTTGTTTTACAAAGTTATGGTTCTTTGTTCACAAATCCTTGTCCGGATATGTCCTCCAAAACTAAGTGTGTTTTTTCAGATATGATAACTATTACCTGATGGTGTGCATCCAGGTATGAATTGTTCAATCTGACCTTTTTGTACGGAGTAATGGCCCTTTGTTGAAAACTACTTGTCCTCACGACTCCTCTTAAACTATGGAGCCAATTTCCACGGAAGTTTACAGATATGGTGACTGCCCCCTGACATTGTGCATCCAAGTAGTATGTTTTCATTCCGAACCCTTAAAAAGGAGTTATGGCCCTTTTGTTGACAATCCCCATTTGTCTGCCTCATAAACTACTGGGCCGATTTCAATGAATGTTTACAGATATGGTTATTACCCCCTGGTGTCGTGTATCAGGGTACGTGCATTAGTTGTTGTTTTTTTCATTTTAAAACTTTTTAAGGAGTTATGACCCTTTGTTAAAAAATCTTTGTCTTGACAACTCTTACTTAACTACTACGATTTCAGCAAAACTGGTTCATGAGGGCTAACAGGATTTGACATGGAAGTATGTTTTGGCATGGGGAGGGAGTACAGGAAGTATGTCAGTGACGTATATGCTTAACTTTAAACAAATAAAGCAAGAAAAGGTATCCATGTCTGACTCCCCATACACATTTTTTAAGTCAGCACATATGATTTGTGTGACCTTGAATGAAGGTCAAGGTCATCAACGTTTACAAAACTTTAATCCATTCACATGAAAAACCTACTGGCCAAATATCAAGACCCAATGACCTTTGGCCATGAAAAAACACAAGTTAAAGGAAAAGTAGAAAGAAAGCTATGATTCTCTTTTTTTGAATCAAAAGTGTTATATGACAAATTTGCCGGTTGTCATTCTTTTGGGAAATTTCTGATGTTAAAAGATATTTTTGGTAGACAACTTTTAAGCATGTATGAAAAATAGACCAGTTTTAGAACTATGTAAATAAACGTGTCAAAAAATGAAATTTCTCATTAGTAATGAAATTTCACATACTTTTCTGCTTAAAACTTCAATAAAAAGAAAAAAATCTTTCTTGAAATAGTGTAATATTCGTTATCAAAATAACAGTTGGAATATGTTGCAAATGGATGATATAATTTTATATTAATTATGTCATTTATATGCTTTAGGAGGAATTGTATTACTGCACCTTTAACGCCTACACGGGTGTAAGTCAATGAGGTCCCATTTATCATAAAATAAATTCTGAAACTAACTGTGTCCTGATTTATGCTTCATATACCCATACCTTTTTGGATTTATTTTGTTTTGAAATTCCAAGCGGGGCCGACGCTAATGTTAAATCTCCATAGGCGTTGACCCTACCTTTAAAGGTCGCTATAAACATTTTGTATAATATAATATAGTATTTCATAAACACTGTGTCCAACATTGATCCATAGAATAGAATGATTATTAGATATTGTTCGTAGGACACATGAATACCACAACCTTCTTCCCGACAAGTTAGAGACCCCGAAACGCAATCGTGTGTGATATATTTGTGTTCCGAATTACATTGTAGAAGAATTAATAAATAGCAATGCATTGATATAGGGGAGTACTCTGTGCGTCAATTAAAAAAGTATTTGATATATTTTTTTATTTGCAATGTTTCTTTGTGTTAATTTTCTTACCTTTTTGAAGATAATTCATTTAAAGTTCATCAAGAAAACTCAATTCAGATAATAGTTATGAATAAAAAAAATCATTGTTATTGTGCATATGGTATAGTATATTGTCAGGGTGTCGCCATCAGTGGGGACCATTTCTCCAATATCCTAGAAACCTTTCTGACTCATATTTACTGTTTGAAATGTGTTTTTGTACTTTGTATGTTTCCTTAATTTTTATTGAGAAGTGCTAATATAAATAGTTTATTTTTAGAACATTTTGTTTTATAGATATGATATTTAATTACTAAGTTTATGAAATTGTCAACTTCAGCATCTGGTTTGTCTGCACAAATTATACCAAAAATAAATTGTTTTTTATTCAATGATATGAAAAGTGTAGGTTAACCTCTCAAAATTATGAAGCAATCTTTTAACTTCTTGGCAGTCCCATATAATGTGTTCAATAGTTTTCCGATATGTTTTACAGAAAGAGCAAAATGAATTTTCAACTAATCCCATTTTAAATACAAGAGAGTTGGTAGTTAGAATGTGGTGATTGATCCTGTTCTGAAACCATTGTAGTTTAGAGTTTTTAGTGATCCGGAAAGGAAGTTTGTAGATCTGTTTCCATGACTCATGATTGATATTATAATTTTCCCACTTTTGTTAGCCAGTTGGTATAACATTGTTTTTGCAAAGTGTATTGTACATGTCTTTAGCTCTTTTGTTACTTTTAAGGATAATTATTAAGTTCAATGGGATATATGGGTACGGTACTGATATATGTGTATTAAATTGTTGAAATTGATGTAGGTCCTTTGGATTTACAGATACTATGCCCTGGTATTTTAGAAAATTACATCGTCATTATATATACGTTTAAATTTTCCATATGGAAGACATTTTCCGTAATGTCCAATCACATCGTTGATAATTCTGACTACTTTTAGAAACCATTCTTTGTAAAAGATTGTATTATTTGCCTGTATTATATTTAGCCATGCTTTTAAAACATCTTTCCAAAACAAGTTATTCGTGTTCTTAATACTCTATTCAATATATTCAGTCCCACAATTAGTTAACTTATCCTTATCTAATTTCGTATGTAATATATTTGTCCATTTGCCACTTCCATTGTAAAGCCTGCGAATCCATGTACATTTAAGTGAGTGAATACAGGAGTCAGTATGAATCATTTTAGTCCACCATTTATATATTCTTTAATTACAACATCTCTTTCTATTTGTCAACTTTACTTTTCAACAAAAAGTTGTATAGTTCTGTGTTAAGATTTTTGATAAAGTTTTCGTCAGGATTTGGGATTGAAATAAATAGATGATGAAGTTGAGATATTATTAAAGTTTTAATTACTGCCAGTCTTCCAATTGGGCGTAGGATTCTTCTATTCCATATTTTAAGCAGGTTTTTTAATTTGACTAGCTTTTTATCATAGTTGAACTTGGTAATTTTGTATAAATAGTGTTATACTGATATATTATCTTAATTTATAAACAATTCATGAGTTCCATAACATTATAAATGTCAAACATATTTTTACACGTTAATCCTTCAATACAAATTGTATGATGTAAAACTATTTTTCTAGAATGAAACCTTCGTGTTTTAAAAACGATAACGTATTAATGGTGAGATGATTACTACAGGTTCTTGACATATTGACATTTCCTTTGAATCGTTGACGCCATTAATGGGATATGTCCAGACACACAATGTTGTTATGACCTCATATATATTGAACAATAAATCCCATTCCCGATACTTTCATCTGAAATTCATTTTATATATCAATCCAATCACAATAACAAAAATAAGAGGGGTTTCATCTGTTTAATATTGGAGCAACTCAGTAAATAGAACAGCGTTTTTCACGTAAACAGTTGATACTTATGGGAAGTCGTAAAACAGCCAGGACAACAGCACAAACAAAACTGGTATCTATTTCAATTGCTAATTTACAGCATATGACATGCTATGGTTTTATTTAGTGTTTGTGGTTGTTTTAGGAAATTATGGCACATAGCATGTCAAAGCTAGTTCGTTACAAGTACGTTAATTTTTATATTAACACAATATCAATGAACATCAGGGCGACTGCGTGACGAAAGAGGAAAATATTATATGAGCCATGTGGTTGACATGTCACTGGCAATATGTATCAACAGTTCAGGTATGGCCTCGAGCAATACAAGAGTACCCTGGTGAAGCATTACATTAGTTTATAATACTGTATTGTTATGACGTGTATCCTCGAAGTTGGAACCTTATAAAGTCAGATAGTTCCTGAAGCCCCCGAACTCCATCTTCCAGTTGGAAAGGCCCTTCAGTTGAGAATAACAAGAAACCGTGAAAGGTTGATGGGTAATATTTAAGTTTCACTTTTATATCTGACTCGGAGAGACGTGCAGCATACATGATTCCTTCGTCACGTAACACGTCATATTGAGAGGCTATGACGTAGGCGTTAGCAATGCCATTTAAATGTGTCTGAAGCATAGGTGATAATGTAGTGTTCGTCAGAATTACCTTTAAAATTTCGATTGAATCAAAGTCATAAACGTGCTTTTTTGACGTTTTTTTATTTGTAATGTTTAACGAAGGCGGCAGGTATGACATACTATTAACATAGTTTGATAATTTGGAGTGACGCACTTCCGGTGATACGTGTGAATTTTTTATTAGATTTGATGTGTAAGTTGCCGAGATTCTTGTATAAAGCAACCAATGTTGGATCTGTCGTTTCGGGGACGTCATGCCGTTGATGACGTCACAGTTTTCTCTGTAGGACGGAGTACGAAGATCCAGTAGTTGTAGTGCTGGGTTAATCAGAACTTGCATGAAGATTTTCTTTCTGAACTTCTGCGCAACCGCGGCAGCCAAGTTCCCACCAGAACCATCACCTCCAACCATCACGTGATGGTGGTCAACCGGAAGACCACTTTTACCAAGGAGGATATGGTACATGACATTTTCACAGTCTTTGTAGGGAGCCGGAAAATGGTGCCTGGGTGCCTTCCTGTATCTGAAGCGAAACCACACGCTAGATAATAGAATTAAATGATTTCATTATTTATTTATTTTGAGTCTTACTTCGTCGCAACACATTTATGTCATATGATTGTTTCACCAGGAGTCAACTGAGGATGAGTGAAGCAACATAGGCGTAATATTGTACAGGTGTAATTATACATGTATCTTGACGTGACGTCATTACCAAATATTACCCGTGTAAAACAAAAAAAGTGAATTTAGTACCTATAGAACCATATGTACCACCAACCGCGTGACAAAATGATACGATAGGTAACTGACGAAAACAAAAATAGATCTCGAAATGTTTTGATGATAGAAACTTTTTAGTGGAAAGTATCCTGATAATATGAAAACGTAGTTTGTTTTGTGGGGTTGTGGGGAGCGTGTGTGTGTGTGTGTGTGTGTGTGTGTGTGTGTGTGTGTCACCGAGAATAAACTGATTTTTACTTACTCTGGTGCGATGATAAGTACTCCCGTCTTGTTAGCTAGTTGGATGAGGAACGCAGTATAGCTGTCTGAAACGTTAGCGACATTATAAAGTAATAACTACATAATCTACATGTATTTACTAGATATACAGTACTGATATTTGTGCTTCTTCCCATAATCAACACAATCAAAAACGTCTTAATGTGTAATGTATAAATACATATTTTGTAAACAATATTTTCATTGAAATATAATCTCTTGCACAGTAATGAATACAAACACTGATCTACAATTTCCATAATAGGTGTTAGTTCAGGCATAGTATTGATAAAGGGAAGTAACTCTCATAGAACTGGTACATCAATATGTGTTAATTTGTAGCGTTAAAAATCTTCCCTCAGAGCACGGAATTAGATCTAAGTCCGTCGTCAGAGATTAAAATAGTAATAATAATAATAATATCCAGCATTTATATAGCGCCATGTATAATTTGCAAAATTTCTCTAAGTCGCTATAAGACACATGATGAATAATAGTTTTCTTGAAGTGACAGTTGTATATATGCATGCAGATAAAAAACGGAATACAAATCAGCATTATACATTAAGTAACAAGACATTTATCTCAATATGCATACAAATAATTATATATATATCGCTTGATGTGCACATGACGTCTGTGCAAAGAGCCTAAAATGCAGACGTAAAATGATGGGTCTTTATAAATTGTATCTTTCTTGAAATATCAGACTTTCACTATATCATGAACAAAGAGTCTTAAATGACTTATGTTTTACTCGTACTTACTGACAGAGAGCCATGTCCAGCCCCCTCCGTGTATGTACATCAAGGTAGGGTAGGTACCCCTGAGGGCTCGACCCTCGGGCTTAAACACGCGCACGGGTATATCGTTTATTGTCTTGTCAAATATCTAAAAAAAAAGATTATAAATCGATTTTAAACTTTGCAAAATCTTTATGGGAACCTAAAATTCCATGAACATTTAGAAACAGCTCACTGATTTATAAAAAATACAATGACACTGTATGTTCAATGGCGAGAGTCATGACGGATATATTGTGTGCGTGTTTGTTTGTGTCGACTCCAAAACTACGACAGATGAATTATCCTTCTAAAGGAGATGTTTGAATTTAACATGTAGCGTCATTTGATCAGAAGAGGTGTGGGTTCTTATTTGAGCAGATGTTTTGTGGAAAACTGCTACGTCACAGTGTGCCTAGACACATTTTGGAGAATAAGAATAAGATAAAAATATGATTAAAATATGTCTATATTTTTGTCCTTGACTCAACACTTACAACCTCTATTGGAATGATAACGGCACTGATTAAGTGTTTTAGTTGAGGGAGATTGTGTAAGGCCTACCTTTACACCATCGTTGTGTGACGTCACACTGCCCACCAAGCAACAAAATACGGAATCGACTAAAAACTTAACCGGAGCTCCAATTGGAATGCCAAAGTAGAGAAAAATTTCCAGCTGAAAAGAAAATAAGAAAACAAATAAATCACTTATATGAAAATGTGAGAGTTGCTTTCAAACGATTTCCGATTAAAATTTACACGAAAACAAAGCCAGACTTGATAGTCCAGATACAGTTTCCATTGCCAACAAACACCGATTGGAAAGTTAAATACATGTAGCATTCCGTTTGTATTCTCAAGTTTAAATCAGACTCTCTTCGTTTCAAAATTGTGGTTAAATTGTGTTCATTCTCAACAGAAGGTAGTACTCGATCTAGTTCATCACAATAAATTGTATTTAAAATAATCTTAAACTCAAAAATGATATAGATACAATGTACATGCTTTACTACAAGATTGGCTAAATAATCGTTAACATTGAGCATGTACCTGTCTTATAAAATAGTATCAAACATTATATGTATCATATGTTATCAGCCCATGTTCAAAAAGACAAAGTATTGCAAGGAAATCCATAGTCCCTCACCGGTAATATGTTTTACCGAGCTGTGCGCCTACTTAAGTTTACGTTTTCTCTGCCTCTTATGTTCTTTTTTAACTTACAATTTATATTTGAAATTTAAAATTCCCGCCTTATCGACAGTCCACACAAATTCGTTCAATAGTTCAAACAGCGTGTTGTCGCGTGCTGATTGTCGAATCACGGACTTAGATAGCAATCTAATCTAATTCCGTGGGCAACCAAAGTAGTACTTTGAAATTTTAACAAACACTTCAATTTTATTCCACAGATCAGTATCAATACAATTTCGTATGATATGTATATAGGGTGAGTTAAGTTTATCAATAGAACTCTGAGCTGAAAGTTAGATTTGAAATTGTTTCGATTTTTCCCCGTTACAAATTTCGCAAATGGATAAATACAGTGAACACTGTCCTCCACGAGAGAGTTATTTTTGGAAGTTAATTGAGCAAAGAGAAAAGTATGAATTTGTGGAGAATTCAGACGTGAATTCATTTGTTGATTATATGGGAATCTGACTACAGTCGGTAGATTCTATAACAGCATCGTTATTTGACATGTTGTCAGAAAATGGGGAAACCGTGGCTGCGAGACGCGTGAAACTGATAGCGTTTGAAGTGAGTGATCTTGCGACGGAGCACAGGGGTTCGTTACAAATGTCTGAAATGCTTATGTGTGCTGTGACTCATATCAGTAGGTCTGTAACATATGTGTCAGTAGGTCTATAGAATATGTGTATTTCAGACATTTGTAACGAACCCCTGTTGATCAGTGCAGTGTAACAGACGATATTTCTGATAAATTGCATGAGTGTTAAATTGTTTTCATTGTCGGCATTGGTGATTTCAACCGATGTGAGTTTTGTATATTGTACATTGGATATTGTAGTTCCGGTCAGTGTCGTATTAATACGCTAGGAATTGTGTCTCGTGCTGCATGATAATTAAAGTCCCATCAACGACACAGCTTTCAAAGTGGCTATATAGTGACAATGCCATGCAAATGTAAATATAATAGGATATATTTCACAACGATATACATGCAATTCTTGTATTCTGCACTCCACCAGCCAAGACATACTTCCATACCAAATATAATTACTTCAAGTGAAATAGTCAAGAAGATATGATGTGGATTTTTTTTCCCAAAGGCTGAGGTCAAAGGTCAAAATATAGTGACAACATTCTGCCATGCCAAGATGTACTTGCATGACAAATATGGCTACTCCAGGTGAAGATAGTCTGCCAGACATGTATACCATATGCATTCTTATTATATCTGGTTCATCCTGGCAATTTGACAGTCCTGTCTTTACATACATGTTCCCATGCTTTTTGATATAGACCTGTGATGTCTTTATTTATCGTTGTGTACCTCATATATTGTGTTATCATGTAACTTTTTTTGTTTGATTCAAGGTTTTTTCTTTTTCATTTTACCTTATTATGTTCTTTGTGTATCTATCTTTGTAACCCATATATATGCCATTTGTAACTCTTCAAAGTTGGAGGAATAAAGATATGAATTAACGTATGCCTATTTTTTGTTCCCCGTTTTATTATGTTTCATAAACATACCATATGATTTGATATACGTCCGATTTCGTCGAGAATCCTGACTTTGGTCTGATCCTTGATGTCGATTGGGATTGGTCTGTTCATTACCACGTGGACTCTGTAGGTCACGCCCACCACGAGGAGGGAACAAACAAGTATACTAAACCGTACCATCTTCCTTCTCGTCCGATCTCTTCGTTACCTTCCTTTCTCTTGTCCCCTTTTCACCGTCTTCTTTAACAACAATGTTCATGTTCTTTATTACTTTGAGTCTTTCGACTCATCAGGTACAAATCACAAAAGTGTAATATTTACAGTGCAAAATACAAAATAACATTACAAAACATTACACACACTCGCAGCACAATTACAATTAAGTTTTGGGATGGATGTAGTGCGGCCCATTAATTCCCCTTAAAGCTATTTAAGATCTTGTTAATTTCAGGATGTGACATCATTGCGGCAGCTAGGGTAATATGAAGGCGTAGATAGATAATTGTTTTTATAAAGATATCTAGTATTGAGACTGGGGCTGCAGATCAATTTTGGTTTTAGGCAAACGGACACAAAACCCCGATTCTGCAGGCGGATCTACGCACAGGGTTCTGAGAATGTGTTACAGCTACATGTATATTTGGACCTACGGTAATGGTTTGATTGGATTTGGTTAAGTATTGCTTAATGTCCTATCAACAGCTATGGTCATTTAAGGACGGCCTCCCCTTTGTGCAAGATGCATGCGTGTGTGTTTTGTGAGGCTGCGATTTGTTCGTGTTTGTCTCCTTGTTATAGCGCGGAACTGATGCCGACTTTATAGTTTTACTTCACTGAAACATACTGCCGAAGTCACAGCAGTACACCCTACCCGGTCATATTACACTGACAACGGGCGAACCAGTCGTCCCACTCCTAAATTGCTGAACGTTAAGCAGGAGTAGAAACTACCATATTTACAGACTCGGCTGGTATGTCTCGGCCAGGGGACAGAAACCAAAGCCTTTCTCACAGGGGCGAACGCTCAGCTAAAGGTCAAAAGTGAGGCATTGACAGTCAAGGGAGACATTAGGAAGAAGAAAGTTGTTAAGAACGAAGAGAAAAACATAAGATGACAATTTTAGTCGCCTCTTACGATCATGCAATGGGGGCAGCAGGTACAATTCTTACGCCCTACCTGCAGGGACTTGGTATTTAGAGTTATTTTACACGTTTTAGGGGTTTAGATCAATTTTCGTTAAAAATGCCACCCCCAGTGATGGTCATTATCATCATTGGGAGTGGCATTTCTACCGACAATTGATCTTAAACGTGTAATTACTCTAAATACCTTAGCTTAGGTTCAAATATAGCTGTAACAAATTCCCATATACTTGCTGGCCCGCTAGTCGCAGGCCTGATCCTCCTCGGAACCTGAATGGTGTTGTTGTACGTATTGTGAAGTGAGGAAGTACTTTATGGGTGGTTGTTTCAAATTCTGTGATAGGATTACTTTGATATTTTTTTATGAATTATGTTATCATAATGAAACCAGACTTACTCACTATTTATCTTAAATTCTATTTGTTGATGCAACTGTATGGATTTATTAAACAACCTCAATTCCACAAACAGTCTTTGATTTTATTTCAATTCTCCTCGGTTCCTGCTTAGATGTTTTTGTATCGAGTCTGTCAGGATGTCTGACATTATCACTATGTTGTTTTTCTATGTTGGCGTTTCTTAGCCGCTACACTACAGTCTGTAGAATAAACATTATTTGACAGGAAATGGTGACGGTAATGTCGATTTCTCGAAAACAACACCCACATAACAGACTACGACAGTATTTTGATTACGTCTGTTTGGTATACATGTAATGACATCTTGCTATTTAACCTTGTGACGCAGCACGCGCTGTGTTGTAAGAAGTCGTGTTATGAGAACTTCCTGTTTTGCATGTCGGAACGAAAACATGCCGCTTCGAAATTTGGGAACGTCTGTATTAATACCCGCAGGTTTATCTACAGCACACTAATACAGAAAAGACGAATGAGATGCAGAGTAAAAATGGTTACGACCACAACGGTCTTCTTGACCGTTACGGCACTTGTACCTAATACATTGTATTTCCTTTCGAGGCAGGAAAGTAGAGACCGAATTTTAGACTTTGATCCCCATATTGCTATATTTCATATGATTTGATTTTAATAAATGAAATTTAATGTCAAATCCAATAACAATGGTTTCACGTGTCTTTTTATATTAATTTGTTTTGGTTTGGTTTATTATTGTTTAACGTCCTATCAACAGCTATGGTCATTTAAGGACGGCCTCCCATGTGTGCAAGATACATGCGTGTAGTGTATGCGTGTGTGTTTTGGGAGGCTGTGATATGTTCGCGTTTGTCTCCTTGTTATAGCGCGGAACTGATGCAGGTACGATCATTTAAGTGTGATAAATATTTACAGCATCACCCAGCTTAATTGTTAGCCGAGAAAAAGGAATTTTAGAAAGCGAGGTTAAATTGAATAGGTTATTTCAATGTAGAAGATTTGAGACACATGTACTTGCGCGAGTGGAGACAGAGATAACGTAGGAAGTATGAGTGCTAATAGTATTAAGTATCATTAGCCTGGCATTGGTACTGTCGGAGGAACCTGTAAGTTCGTAATTCGTCAGTCTGCAGTCCGCCACTTCGGCCTAGTATTTCTCGCCGAGAAAAAAGAGGTAGAAGGGTTGTAATGGTAAAAACGTCATAGTCGCCGAAAGGAATGAATAATTTACACTGCATCTTATACGCCTTTTCTTGATTAAGACGTCAATAAACTTACAGGTATAAAACAAGGAAGTTCCCACAACTTGACCAATGAGTTCTGCGTTGCGAGCTCGAGATGGCTAACAGTGCACGGTAAGATAAACTGGCAGTTCGACACAAATGGATTTTTTTAAAACCATTGTTCCATAAAACTAATTTAGCTTATTGAATGAATTTTTGAAACGTTGTCCCTTGTATCTCGCCGCTTAAGAAACAGTAGAGTTTTGAGGGACAGATATATGTATGATGATCCTCTAAAGGAGTGAAAGGACGTAACATTGTACATGTACTACGTAGCTCTTTGTTATAATATATTACAACTCTTACACAACTATGAACTAATGACCCCCCCCNCTATAACATGTATAAATACTTATAATTGTACTTACCACGTGTAGCCCTGAGTATACCCGCCACCGTCTGTGTTAGTGTCTGACTGGGGGTACTCGCCTACCCACCGATAACTCAATGATAACACAGACTGTTATCAGGCCAACCACTGATACCCGGGTCAGTTGTAGCCCGGCTGTGTTGAGACACGCAACAGTTTAGTACTGTCACATATGTGCTTGATTACGATAAAAAAAACACACTTCAAGTGTAATTTAATTTTACAGGAAGCATCGATAATAAATTTAGCCGTTACAAACTTTAAAACGGATTACACTTAAATGTGATCTTAGCCCGTAATAATGCACCCGTACTTGTAACTTATCTAACTTGAACTTGAACTTGCGTCACCTTACAACTAATCGTGATATTTCAGTTTTATTTGTAGAGACAAAAGATTATTAATAAGTAATCAAAACATGTATATGATTGACTTAAACAGAAAACAATAAGATTGCACAAAAAAAGGAACTAAAGACTTTTACCATGTTCTATGCCAAAATAATACAATATCTACCGGTAGAAAGAAGTGGGAGGAAATATTTGAATTTAACACAGAGATATGGAAGAAAATCTATACCATTCCCTTCAAAATTAGTAAAAACACAAAACTACAGTGGCTTCAATTTAGAATCAATCAACAGATTTTAACTACTAATTCATATCTTTATAAAATAGGTCTTGTTAATAGTCCATATTGTTTTCATTGTAAAACTGACACAGAAACTATAGTTCATGCATTATGGGAATGTAAAGAAGTACAAGTGTTTTTAACAGATTTTGAATCATTGCTAGATGTGTTATTAATTCCATTTGCTTTTAATAAAGAATCTTTTATCTTTGGTTTCTATGATAGAAAAAACAATGTTG